TATTAAACTACAAACCCAAGAAACTTCAGAAAAAAAAAAAAGTGTATACCCCAATTTTCTAAATCCTGCTTAGAAAAACAAATAAAACATTATGCAGTGATAGATATTTGAATATTTTCTAAATATCTCCCCACTAGATGCCCTGGGCATCCAGAACATTCCCTAACATTGCCCTCTACCTCTTATCTTCCTCTGTCAGCTTTCTCCCTGTAGCTACTGACTCAAATTTGTTCACTATCTCTGCCTTCCCATTCTTTCAAACTGCTGGAGCAAAGTATAGATTCCAACATTAATTAATGGTATTGCTCTGGCTTGAAATGTTTGGGCGTCCCTTCCTCACTTTTAAAATGCAGCGACAGATGATGGGTTTCTCCACTGAGGGTCAGGCCTGGGGTTCTCAAGATGCTATATCGAAGGACAATTCCTACACATCACATCTTGACATGACTTGACAGCGGCAGCTCTCCCTACCATTATCACGTCCCGGTCAGCCGGCTATGCAATACAATAGCAGGTGCTGCGTTCCCATCAAGAGGGGTTAGCACTGCTTCTATACGAAAATGGCTCTTGCTCCAACCCCACCTCAGACCCCACAACAAACCGTCTAATAACATCACCAGTTCTTTCTACTTCAAAATAGCGACATGCATGCTTGAGAACATCAACAATAATACATAACAAAGTCACTATATTTCGTAGACTTGGCTGGCAGAAACGTGGGTTGCGACTAACTTTTTATTCGGTGGCTTCCTTCCAGATCAATCCAGATAACTTCCCCTCCCCAGAGCCGCCATAAGGGGTGAAGCTCCGCATACTCCTGAGCGCAGTAGGGAGGGACTGGGAGAGGACAAAAGAGACTTGCCTATAGGGACTTACAGATGCCAGACGCTGTGGGGTCTGGGGCAACTCCGAGCAGATTTCCATCCTTTCCGCACTTCCAGCCTCCTCGTCCGCCATCTTGAGGGAAACCGAAGCCTACAGTTGCCGACCTCCCGGCCAGAGGCAAGCGGAAACCTGTGGCCGGTCGTTGAGACAGGGACGACACTTTTACGACGGCCCCTGAAGTCGGGTTTGACGCAGAATCGAGGACCGGCTTCCGTCCCGCTTCCCGGAAGCAAGCGTCACGACGTGAAGGGACTGGAGGGTTTTTTTTCCCTCTAATCTATCAGGTGTAGCGCTTGGTGGCTTAATGGTTGTGTATCTGGGTTTGGTGCTGAGAACTGTTGCATCTACGAAGTAAAAAAAACAACAACAACAACAAAACAAATTCAGCGTCCATTATGAAAGGAAGAAAACTGTTAGGGGCTGTCCTAGCCTAACACCCCCGGTTGTTAGCCTGGGGGTGTTATGTATCCCGACCTCCCTGCGGTGTTCCCCAGAGCCTACGAAATGAGAAAGAAAGTACTCACACATCTTCCATTTTTAGGAGTCTACTCCGTAGGCACTTGCACATGCGTACAAAAAAGCTCGGAGGGCCGGGCGCGATCCCAGCACTGTGGGAGGCCGAGGCGGGTGGATCACAAGGTCAAGAGATCGAGACCA